AACTAAAACATCTGAACGGTTTACTATTCGTTTTCTTATTCATTTAGACACAACATTACGATAGGTGGACACTCATCTCCCTTGTGCGTCTCTTCGCTCTGCCTGTTAGTCCTACGATCATTCCTCCTCGTAAGTCTTAAAACTTATATAATAGCAATGTATTTCTATTTATGTGCAACAATTAGCTACAATTGATTTTTTTTTTTTTAAGAATAACTACAATTAATTAACACGTGATAAAAGTTATTGTAATCTTTCTTCTAAAAAATGTTAATCTGATCTTCTCTTTTTTTTTTTATTCAACAATAAAATTATTTTTAAATCAATTTGCGCATGAATTGGGGCTAAATTTAAAACTTGAACCATGAAGATTATTATAATGTCAATTTTATGTACACGGTTTACAATTATTCCACTTCTAATTGTATGAAAACCGTAATTCAAGATACATAATGTGAAGTACCCTAGTTAAACCAAAGGACTCCCAACCCTATTTAATATATATATTTTTTAATTTAATTATAATTTATCCATCCCACTAGTATACATACTTTTAACCTTCTTTAAAAAATCCAAAACATAACTTACTCAGTGAATAATTCATCTCTATTAAAATTAATTACGGCACACATGATATCGAGTATTTCAAATGATGCATTATGCATGTATTTAAAATATAAAATTAATTGTGACTCACATAATATATAATATTGATTATGATACATGATAAGTATTTAAAATATATCTAATTAATTATAGCATATGATATTAATTACGGTGTATAACAATTAATGATGATACATATATATATATTTAAAGTACATCTAATTAATTAAGATATGTGATATTAATTATCATACATATAATTAATGATAATACATGATTTAAGTATTGATGAGAGAAAGCTTCAGGGCATGGTGGTGTTAATGAATCGTTCAGCGGATAAAGAAAGCTTCAGGGCATGGTGGTGTTAGGTTGGCTGGCAAAGTACCCCCGTCTTCACGAATATCTAACTCAACGTTTGGTGAAGGAGACGTTCGTCTTGGATTGGGCAGAAAAATAAAAAATTTCTCAGTTTCAAAAAATGATAACATTCAACTTCTTTGATCCTGACGTGATCAACTCACAAATAATATTGCTCTGTATACATCAACTATATATTATTTTAGTACCTAACTTGGGTAGACTGTAGATGATACTAAAATTTAATTATAGTCCAACTAAATTTCATAAAATTGATGTAATTTCTAACATATGCTAATATTAATAACCATTAATTTAATCAAAACTAAAAAGTTTTTCTAACTCTTTTTTGGAAGATACATCAAATGGAAGGAAAAAATATATTACCTGGACAAATGGAAGGAAAAAAAACATCAAATAATATTTTGTAGGTTAAAATTTGTAAAAGAGTCCAACTTAATTTGTCTAGAAGTGCAGAGTTGATCGAAATTGAGTTTCTCACAATGATGTCTATGAATTTAAAACATCAAAATAACGAAGCAACAATGCTATTTTGAAGAAAATTTAGTAGAAAATTAAACTGTTCCTTTTCATACCAATTCAATAGAAGAATTTAGCAATTTCACAGAAAAGGAACGGTTTGTTTCATTATTAAAATTGGTAGGTAACTAGTTGGGGGAGGAAAGGTTTTGTATTATATTTTGGGGGTAGAGAGAATCATATTCACATGCTTGTTTGTTTATGCAATTATTTGCATAATGTCAAATTAATTAAATAATTAATATTAATGCTCATTTTAAATGAAAAAGAACAACTCCTAAAGTTATACTAGTTGGTAGGTAACTAGTTGAGGGCAGGACTATGGGCAAGATGTTTCATTAAAAAAAAAAAAAAAAATAGAAGAAGAAGAAGAAGAAGAAGAAGGAAGGTTTTTTTCTATTAATTTACATCAGCATTTCCTTTCCTTTTTTTTTTTTTTTTGGCTGGCCAGTAGCCCAGCCCTGGATACATGGACTCAAGCTGGCTAGGTCTGGCTCATAGGCTTGCACAAACAGTCCCAATCAACATTTATCTTTTGTTTTTTTTCTCCCTTCAATGATTTATTTTTATATTTTTTATCATAAAATTAGATGTAATAATATAAAAAAATTATCATTACTTTTTTTTAGTTTTTACATACAGCTTGACAATAATAGAATATATATGATGTTTTTTAAGATTTTAGTTATATATCTGATTATATTATTTTTATTGTTTAAAATTTATTTCTTCAATTGTTTGTTTCTTATTAAAATTCTCATTGAATTAATTTTTTAATTTTATATAATTTTATTTGTTAATAAATTTGATTTTTTTATATATGAATTTTGAAATAAAATTTTAGAACATGATTGTTTTATTTTTTAAAATATATTATTTTAATTTATACGATTAATTGTTTTTATGTTTTTTGAATGAGAATGCGTAGTTGCATGTATAAATTCTGAAGAGGGAGAGAGAGAGAAAGCTAAAAATGTGTTTTAGACAATTTGACTTAATTTTTTTTAAAATAATAATCAGTTAAAAAAATTTGAATCAATTTTTTTAAAATTAATAATTAGTTAAAAAAATTCACATGTTTTATTTGGTTTTATATTTATATAATCAGAATTTATCGAAACCAATTTTATTATAGTTTTTATTTAAATCTATTCACTTCGATATATTCCATGAAATTTAAGTGAGTTTTTTATATATTTTTTAGTTATTCTATATACTCCGAATCTGCTAAGTACGACACACACACACACACACACACACACACACACACACACATATAGTTTTGTTAGAAATTAATTATATTTGCAAAAATAACGTAAATTATTTGTTTTTTTTTTCATGTTCTAAAATCTGTATTTTTAAATAAAATAATTTAATTAATGTTTTGAAAGAACTTCTTAATTATTTAAATACAAAATTTTATATTGATCTAAGGACCTAGGCATACTTTTTATTCATAATTGAACCATATTTTTTTTTCGAATCAAACAACAACAACAATAATAAAACTATTCCATATTTAGTTTTCTAATTATTCAAAATAAAATAATAGACTTTTTTCTCAAAAAAATAAAATAAAATAATAGCTAAGGCTAAAAGTTGGTAATAATGACTATTTAATTTAATTTTTTTTTTTTTGGGATAACTCTAACGACTATTTGAAAGGACAGTAATTTGAAACTCCCAACAAAAAAAAAAAAAAGGGAAAAAAAGGAAAACCTCAATTAAATTTCTAACTATATACCTATTGTCAATTAGGTACCAAATCTATAACTTTATTAATGAGGCCCCCAACGTTAATTTTCCAATTAGTTCCTTTCATCCATTTGTACTATCTTTTTTTTTTTTTTTTTTTGTCTAATATGCATATTTTATGTTGTAAAATGACGCAGTTTTGAAGATCTTTTATCGTAAAATTAGTGTACATTAACGAAAGGACTTGATTGTAAATTATATGAAACACTTGGGATCAAATTGATGTATAGCTTTGGACACAATTGAGAATGAGTCTATAGATTAGGGACTAAATTGAGGTCTTTCCGACAATTTAAAATTGAAAAAAAGGTTTTCAATTATCTTTTTTTTTTTTTTAATTGCATTCATGATTGACCCCTTAATTTGGTTTAAAGTACTCATGTATAATGAATTATGATAAATTAAAGATAAAACATTTTTGTTCATACAACCATCGTAATATAGTGTTTAGATAAATAGAAAAACGATAACTTATTCATTTGTCACCCTTTTGTTTTGTTTTGTTTTTTTGGTGAAGGGAAGATTCAATCTTGAAATCTTTCAAGAAAGAAAAGATACTAATACTAATTGAATTACAGTTACAATTCATTGGCTTCATTGGTCACACTTGCTTGCTTTCATGCATTCCTCGAGGGTAATTCAATTTTCCAACTATCATTATATGGGATCAGATGCATATCATAAGGCCGGGCCGAATAACCCTAACTTAGAACTGGGCTAGTAGACCCAGAGATATGAGCGGATAGGATGATCCAGCAGCCTAGATGGGGCCAATTGACCCAAGGACTGCATGCCTGCCAGGCCAGGTAACCTATGAACTGGTCGAGGCCGATGGATTTGGGGTTCCAGCTTGACTGGGTTGACCCAAGTGTAATTGTTGCACGCATTACAAAATAATAATAATAATAATAAATAAATAATTGGGATGGTAACTGTTCGTTCCCGCTAGCTTAAGATTGAAATGAAGAACTATACAGCCAAGCAAATTAATTATTATTTCCAAGAAATATTGAAAAGAACAACGAATGTGATGCCAAAATGCCCCTTAATCAATTAGAAGTATACGTATTGCTATATGGCTATTATCATCAAAGAGGTGAGCGAGGTCGCAGCATCCACACTTTTCCGTTTCAAATATTGTCGCTTTTTAATTTCAATGAACACCAACCTACGTAAGATTATTCCTGTACACAGTTGTACTAGCTAGGTTGCAACCTGACTTTTACAAGTGTTAGAATGTTGCGTGGAGTAGCAAAAAAGAATTGAGTGCGTATAAGCAAACTCTGCTGTAGGCTATATATGTCGGTTAAACTGAAAGGACAAAGTTGATTACCAACAACCTTAATTTGACACTGTTCTTACAAAAACGAAAAAGACAGAGTTACTTCCATTTTCTAAATGAAGAAATATAGGATAAGATTGCCATGGCCAACATTCTGTATAAATCATGACAAGATAAATTACATACCATTGTGTAAACACCAAGAAACCATAAGATGTACGTAAGAGATTAGAACATGAATTGTGGAACCTCAAGGGTAAGGATTGCGTTGCTAACCAATTCTGGGATTATCTAGTTTAGTTGATAAAGTTTTCTCGTACATAACTGATATGAGAAATTAATTAAATTAAGGTAACATTTAACACAGGCCTATATATCAATAATTAATTAAAAAAATGTAGGAGCAATTAATATGCTAGCTAGTGAAAGTAAAAATCTTGTACTCCTGTTAGAAACTGACATGGTTATCCGCCTGCGCAGCTTATCTTATCACGATGCTAATGGTTTCAATAAGCCCATGACCTCAACTGTGCACTCTGCCTTCTACTCTATCTTCTGCCCATTAGAAAACTGAAAAGAATCTTCTGCAATATGGGTGGACCGTTGAAGGGTTTAGCCCTACAGTTGGCATGTTGCTGAATTAAACTTTAATAGCACAACGTGAGAGACGAATCACGAAGACAGCTGTAACTGTATATGAGGGCTCAACGGCAATTGGTTATTGGCTTTCTGCATCGGTGTTCATCCATGGCTGTACTCGTGGGCCCGTGACGTGACTTAGCCTTCATTTATCTCCAAAAATGTCTTCAAGTGAAAGGGTATATATGTAGTGAGACAGATTCTAATTAGATCATATCCTCTCTGTCAGTTTGCTCCAAGTGATAAACATCTTTTCTACAATCTTTAGCATAGCATCCCATCATTAACAAAATTCTCTTCTTTAATTTTCCTAAACTACTCCATCTTGATTCTTGAATCTTGAACGTCTACTAAAACACTCAATTTTGAATCTTGAAAGTCCACTAAAAGATTCAAGTGAGACAGTAGTCATGGCGGCTGCGACTAGTACTCCTACAAAATTTGAATACAAGATTAATGATAAGAGTGAAGAAAACACTGCCAACTATCTGATAGTGAGACCAGAGAAGGGAGGGATATTGGACTTGCTGAGGTACTTGGTGTGGGCTGACATAGGGAGTGGCGTGAAATTCTTGGAGAGCTCAGAAGAGGGGATTATGGGTAGGGAGGCAGCTGATAATAGGTGGATTATATTGGTGTCCATTATTGTTAGGAAGATCATCTTATTATTTGGCAAGCCCATGGAGTACACTGGTTTTGTGGTTGATTACTTTCTCAATCTCCTGTTTCAGAATGGTGGCATCACGGGCTTATTTGTCAACTTTCTCCAAGGTATATAGCCAATCCTGCTACTCTTCGATTAATTCCCTTTCTTTCTGTTCCTTTTGAATAAGATACATGCTTGTACATGTGTGCGCCGATTGAAGTAGTTGGAACTGGTTCTTGATTTCCTTTACATGTATGTACATGTTATTAAGTGCTCCGACTTGGTTATGAAAGGGAAATAGCTTAGGTTCATGTCTGGCAATTTATACAGCAGTTCATACTGGCAACTTTGAAATTTGTTGGTGGATGCATTGAAAAATCATCTTTTATGGAACTGACTTCAATTGTCTTATTGGTAACTTTTTTGTAGACTTTATTTTGCTCACAGTACAACTAGTCTGCTAAAAGGTTATTCTGGTGATCATGGGGATGCAGGAAAGGTGGTGATACCGCAGAGGGACACGGAGACTTTTGTAAGTACCATTGGGCATTTGGATGGGCGAATAGACCTATACAGAGCTAAAAACTTGCTGGAAGAACTAGATAATTCTGTTTCCGGCAAGAAGATTATCACAGAAGAAACGGGGAACCGCGCTCTTATGGACCTTTGTATCATGGCATCCAAATTAGCTTATGAGAATGCCAAAGTTGTTCAAAGTATTGTTTTTCATCACTGGAAGGCAAGCGACTCTAACTTCTGTTGTCTCCCTCCATTTTTCTGTTTCTTTTTCTTGCATTCTATTTTTTTTAATTGAATTATCTAATTTTGATCGACTGATGTAACATATGCGTTTCTGGTAGCAACTAATACAATAACATGAATTTCTGACGAAACAACAGATGCATTTTGTGGACTTCTACAACTGCTGGAATGGTAAGCAACACATTTTGGATGGAGTTGTATTAAACGGAAGATTTGGAACTTTCCAACCTCTTTAGTTGTTTAAAAATAATACTCCTTTGTTTTTCAGCAAAAGTTTACTTTGTTCTTCTGATAAAGTGTTTGGTGCTTTTTCCTCTTTGTCTTGGTTAATGGCTGTATAGATTTTCAAAAGGAAATGTCCACCCAAGTGTTTATGCTATGTGACAAGCCCAAGGATGCGAATTTAATATTGATCAGCTTTCGGGGCACGGAACCTTTTGATGCTGATGATTGGGGTACCGATTTTGATTACTCTTGGTATGATATTCCGAAACTGGGAAAAGTTCATATGGGGTTCTTAGAAGCATTAGGCATGGGCAATAGAGCTGATATTACCACGTTCCAATATCACCTTCAGATGAAGAACACAAATTTCAGCCATGGTTATGAAGGTTCTGGATCACTATCATCAAATACTAATTCTGACACGGAACAAAATGAACGGGACCATTGTTCTGAGTCTGAGGGGGCTACTGCTATAGGTCATAAGTTCCTGCCAGAAATGGTGAAGAAGACTGCATACTATGCTGTGAGAAAGAAGCTCAAGAGCTTACTCATGGAGCACAAGAATGCGAAATTTTTAGTCACTGGGCATAGCTTAGGTGGGGCACTTGCTATTTTGTTCCCAACTGTGTTGGTGCTGCACCAACAGATGGATGTAATGAAAAGGTTGCTTGGGGTTTACACATTTGGGCAGCCAAGGATTGGGAACTTGCAGCTAGCAAAGTTCATGGAAGCCCATTTGGAGTATCCTGTTCCTAAATACTTCAGGGTGGTTTACAGCTATGACGTTGTCCCTAGATTGCCTTATGATGACAAAACCTTCTTGTATAAACATTTCGGAGTGTGCCTTTACTACAACAGCCTCTATATTGAAAAAGTACGTACATTCTGCCTCCAATGAATCTTTTTCTTAGTATCTGTATAAAATGCTGCACCTTTTATTCTCTGAAATGTTCCCTCCCAAAGAATCTGAAACATCTCAACCCTGCCGTCACCATTCTGAGGCATTTTCCACTGCACCTACGCAGTACTCACCATTCTAAATGCAGAATAGGAAGAACTAAGAAGTCTTCTGATTGAATCGGAGTGTTCGTCAATATAGTCACTTGTTATTTGTTGTGTTGTAGAAATCCTGTTACTTTAACCTTATATGAAAAAATTAATGACAAAGAAATCACGTCCATCATTCCACATGTGATCATTGTTATCTTAAGACGACTTTTCTTCTTGTTTTTCCTTTTCTTTTAATAAGCCAGTTATTTTCCTGATGACTTTGCTTCTTTCTTTTGGTTTGCATATTTGAAGAAAGTGGATGAGGAGCCAGACCCCAACTTCTATGGGTTGAGAAATGTTATTTCTGCCCATCTGAATGCTATATGGGAGATAATAAGAAGTTTCGTAATCAGCTACACACATGGGCCAGAGTACAAAGAAAGTTGGTTTATGGTATTGGCCAGGATAATGGGACTGGCGCTTCCTGGTATTGCTGCACATTGCCCCACAGATTATGTTAATTCGGTAAGACTGGGAAAGGAGCAAGTTGTTCAAATGTCTTCTTTCTGAGAGGCTTCTGTTGCAAGATGAAATGTATGCTTCATCATTGATGAAGTGTCTAGTTGTCTACGTTATTGCTTGCGCTTTTGGGTTCTGGTTTCCATTTTGATGTCCAAGCACCTTTCTCTCATGCCCTTCGGATTATCTGCTACTTACCAGTGTCTCTGTCCAAAACATTCGAGTTTCTTTTGCGATTGTGTTATTCAGTTTATATTCCTGGGTTTTGTAATACCTGGCAGGCAGAGAAACTTACTGTGACATTGGTGATAAATGGGGAGTGTTTCCGCATCTTGAGAGTAATAGCTTGCCAGTTTGCTAGGTATCGTTTTGCTGTGGGGTCCTAGGCTGTGTAGGCTTTGTGCCTGCGATTGGTTTCATGTCTTTCCTTTGAATAAAATTTTGTGTCTCTACAAAAATCGGTTGGAATTTTCTGTTTCTAACTTCAGTGAAATCCTTATTTGGTCATAATATGCAAGTCCTTAAAGCTTAATGAAGTCGGTTTGATAATGCAACTAGTGCCATCAAGTTTATTGGCTCATACCTACAAATGGAGTGTTTTTTTTTTTTGGCTATATTGCGAAGATTCCATCTTCATGCCATCTATTCATAATTCCTGAAATCAAATAATGTGAAAATTCCACTGTCTCCAGTGGCTTTTATTACACTGGAATTTGCCTAAATAAGACAGTAAAAACTCTGCAAACAAATATAAGAATTTCCAAACCTCAATACAAATGGTATATCATAAGAATCGCGATACGCACTAGCAAATGGCATCAGATATGCTCTGAAGATACCCAGTTAGGATGTGCGCCCGCCAAAAAATCTGGAGGATATAACTTGCATGAGTTACAACTTCCTAGTGAATTCTGAATGACTCTGCTATAACAAATGCCAATTCCTCTGGCAGATTATACTCCACAGTAATTATGTGAGCAACTTCTGTCAGGTTTTCTTCACAGGAAAATCGAAAGATACAGTGTTCATGTCGGAGTCAAACCGTATGAGCTGTTTGGATCAAATTTAAGTCCAAATTTTTGAGCCTCACTACCGACTCTACATGTCCTCTCAAGGTGTGGATTTCCCCCAGTCTGCAAAGTTCAAAAGTTATTCAGAAAGTTCATTCAGCTAGAAGTATTTTAGCTTCTTGGAAAGAAAATTGGACATTTATACCACCGAAGGCATAAAATATTTATCTGCAAGCTAAGATATACACACTAAGCATATAAGTGGGAGACAGGTACTGCTGGAACTAGACCAAAGCTCAAGGGAAAATCATGCAAGAGATCTCAGCAAGAAGCGACTAAAGTCTTAAGAATACCTGGCTATTTCTGCACGCCGTTTGGCCTGTTCAGCAATCAAAGTAGATCTCCTGCCATTGAAATCTTGGTCTGATGCCATCAACCCTTGCAGACTCCTCTGGGAAAGAATCCACTTAGCTTCCCTATCTTCCTTTCCATAATCTTTCTTTGAAGTAAAAGCAGTCTGTTGGAAAAAAATAATAATAATAATAATAATAAGGGTGTAGACATTTCAAGCCAAGGCACATTCCTTCAGAGATGAATGACAACACCATACTTCACTAACCTTTCTATCAAATAAGAGATTCCATGCTTCTCCACTCAAGGCATAACGAATTATGAACTTGATAATATCCAGTGGTACGTAGAAAACCAAACTATATAACCATATAACACCAGCCCATCCCCATCCAATGCCTCTAATATAAGCAAAGCTAATATGTGCATAGACAGCAATTAAAGTGGCCACCTAAACAACAAGAAAACGACGGTCAGAAATGTACTGTAACTCAACCAGGTCTCATTTTGTTCCACAGTGAAGCATCTGAATTTGGTTCAGATGGCCAAGATCAATTAAAACAATTTAGGGCTCTGGTTAGGCATTTTCAACTAGCCTTTCCTGAATGTTGAATAAGCGAGAATACTTGAAAGATAAATAGAGCCCATTTAGGAGGTTTCCTTGGGTACAGCTTACCAGTTGAGCCACCACAAACGCACACATCAAGAGAATTCCAGGCCTTTCTAGGAACGACCAACTTTGACTACGCGTAACAAATATTAAAGCCTGGCTGATAATGCTGACTTGCAGATACACAGCAGAAGAGACTTCCTCAGTGCTGCTGGATAGAGACCTCACATGGAAGTGTGTCTGCACACATAGACATGATTAATAGCCAACAATACCAGTAATTAGGAAAACACAGCCAATATTCCCAACAAAATCTAACCAGACTAAAACCAATAGAAGGAAACTACTATATGTTTGATACCTCAAAGAAATCGGTACGAATCACAATCCAGTAAAACAGGACAGTGACCAAAGCAAGATATGTGCCAATGACAATGCCTGTTGCAAAAATCTCTTCGAGCTTCCAACTGTCAGGCCTTGGAGAAGGCTTAACTCGATCTTGTGAAATAGTCATTATGGTCCCTAAATACAATCGCACCAGTACATTCTTCAGTATTATGCAAAGTTGTGCATATTGCTGTCTTTTTGTTACAAGAATCTTTTTTTCATAATTTCCATATGATATCGTAAGCTTGCTTTAGGAGACTACATAATTTAGTTAATCAGATAATTCAGTATTCTGATGAATCCATTTTGTAAACAAGTTTTACGTTTGAAATAAACTTTTTATGCCAGGGAGTGGCACAGTGGATGACAAAACAACTACAGGGGATACTGCTTCTGAATCCATTTATTTCCTGTAGTCATTCACATGGAGCTAGCACCGCAAACTGAGTTTGGAAATCTTCTTTCCCTACTGTGTTGTATTTTATTTGTCTACTATGTTACCTGAACACTAATCAACATCGTTTAGTTCACTCTGCTATCAGATCCCCAGGAAAATAAAAGGAATTACTTAGTCACCTAGATGGAGGAAAAGAAAAGGGAAAAGCTATCATGTTTTGATGTACATTACCATCATTGAGTATTGCTATTATCAGAACCATGAAAGGTGGGAAGTCATATTCCCATATCAACGCTAGAAGCACAAAACCAACCTGCAAAGCAGTTGACTTTCAAGATTAACTGAAAACTGAAGCAAAATGCAGAAGATTTTAATGCAAAAGTTCAGGAAATTGAGCAGCAGCAAAACAAGCACAAAAAGCCCCAGCTTACCACAATCCTAATGGTTATGGAGACGGCGTATATCTGCAAATGCAAGCAGGATAATCAGTTTTTTCGTTAAATGAATTCAGAAGCAAGACAAGAAAGAAACACAACTCATAAAAAATACGATAAGCTATTACTTTCACAATCCTACAGATTCCATGATGTACTTCGCATGCTTATTGATATTGACCCACAAAAAGTACATTCGCTCTGAATTATCTCGTAGACTAAAATAAATATCCAGTGATATTGTTGTAATTAAAATATTAATTAGTTCATTCAATTAGATTCATGCTTCGTTAAGAGGTAATCAAGGTGTAACCTGCATCTGTGGCTAGCATTTCATTTTCTACATTACATAGACTATGGATCCAAGTGTACTAAAAGTAGGATACTAGCGTTAACATATTTAGAAGCAAGGATATATACTCAACCGTATAGTTCTTCATTCTTTGGAATATAGCTCTGCTAGTTAAGACAGCACTGATAATCACACTTAAACCAGGCTCCGTCAAGACAATATCTGAAGCACTTCTTGCAGCATCTGTAGAATCTGCCACTGCTATTCCAATATCTGCTTTCTTCAAAGCAGGCGCATCATTCACACCATCTCCAGTCATTCCAACCACATGCTTTTTTTCTTGTAAAATTTTAACAATTTCATATTTGTGTTCTGAAAGTTGAGTAGAATAAAAAAAAAATAACCAGATGTAAGAATTGCATCAAAATTTGCATGCATAAAATTAAAAATTCAGAAGTAGTCAGCATTAACTTTTATGAAATAAAGATGGTCAATTTAAATACCGGGAAATACACCGGCAAAGCCATCTGCCTTTTCGATGAGCTCATCCACAGGAAGAGCTTCATGTTCATCCCTTTCCCGGCCTAACAGTGATGAAGAGGGGTACATGTTGGTTCCCATGCCAAGTCGTCTTCCTGTCTCCTTTGCAATTGCCAACTGATCACCTTCATTAGCATACTTACAAATTAGTTTTTTCGTTCAACGTTTCTGCAAAAGCCACTCCTTGGGGCATCGAGAAGCATTCGTTGTCTAAATAGTGTGGAACGCAGTAATGAAACATTGGTGATAAATTTATATGCTTGATTGTTTACTATATGTTGATATGTGATGATAATTGAAAGAAATGAAAAATACTGAAAATCTGATCCCATGAAAATAACAACTGCCACTATGCTCCTAGTTTCTTGAAAGAGATTATTTCTGTCTAAGTTTTTACAAACATGAACACTCTAACCAAAACTAGCCAAGTACTGATTGTACAAGCTCTTAAAAATCATCAGAAATCTGCATGTACCTGTAATCATCTTGACATTAACTCCAAGGTTCAGTGCTCTGCGGATGGTCTCAGCACTATCATGCCTCGGAGGATCAAACAAGGGCAACAACCCACAAAATGTCCAAGGACGTCCAGGACTTTCCTTAGTTTTTTCAGGAACTTCCTGCAGGGATGGATGTATGAAATTCATGAGTGCGTCAGAAAGATGCTTTCTTGGTTATGTTTAATTTGAATGAGAATTCAAGGGTATCACAAATTCTAATTAGTTAGAAATATTTCGTTCTAAATGTGACCAAATTATTGCCTTAGAATCATATTTCATTATCTTTATCATAGAACAGCTATTTTCTTAATATATATGAGATTATAAGCTCAATACAGCCACTGAACATCAATAAGAGATGCAATCTGTGTACCTGAAATGCAACTCCAAGAGATCGCAAGCCTCTTTCAGCAAATTTGTCAATAATGGCATGCACTTTTCCAGCAATCTCGTCCTTCTCTTGGCACATCTTTAGAATCTGACATTATAGAAAATAGCATACAGTTTCATACTCTGCTACAAAATGTGTGAAAGCTCAAGTTTTTGCACATGAACTAAGAAATGATTTTTTTGTCAATAAGAAACTAATTTTCCAAATCAAATTATACTGCTAGGCCTCGTAGTTTAATCATCAAGTAAGTGGCAGCCAGATTTTTTCACAACTCAGAGCACAATAATGAATTTTGTGAAGGGTGACTATTGAGATTGCTGAAAGTTGATATTCAATAAGGAGAGAAAAATGTTTTTCTTCTCTTTTTTCTTTTTATGTTATGAAACGCATCAAAGAAAAATTTTGTAGACAATAGACATTTAAAAAAATCAGCATTGTAAATGGTATATTATAGATCATTGCCATCTCAAACTTGATTCAGTCTAGCAGTTTAGAAATCTTATAGCAATTTTTAAAATTGACCACATTGAAGGGATACCTGCTCAGGAGCTCCTTTGCTGGCTCGATACCAATTACCATCAGAATCAATGTATGTAATTGCAGTACGTTTGTCCACCGGATTGAAGGGCAAAAAATGCACTTCTGTGATGTTTGCACGTGCCTGCAGACAGAAAGGTAAATTCATTTTCTCATATATATCCAGTCAAACAGAAGAATCCTGAGGTAACATATATCCACTCTCTACCTCCTTTGGATCAGCAAGCATGTTAACTATGGCTGCATCAATAGCATCCTGATTCTCCATTCTGGATGCTCTGGCTGCAAGCAAGACAATTGTATCTCTGTCCATATCTTTGTTGAAAACCTGCAGAAGATATAAGTCCTATCATTAGACTTGTCTACATAAATGAAGTATTAGTGGGAGGAGGATTATCTGAGAGTCCAAAAACTATATAAAATCCAAATTGTGTTCAAAATTTGAGACTGGTTAAATCCAGTATAGAAGATGTAACACTTCAACAGGTGAGAATAATAAGAGTATTATATTCCTGCATGATGTAGAAGAAATAGATGTAGTTCCCCGGAAATAAAAATAAGCTTTCTGTACCTCAATAAGGTTTCGATCAACTGTTAGGCGATTGAGGGTAAGAGTTCCAGTTTTATCACTGCAGAGGACATCCATTCCTGCCATTTCTTCAATTGCAGTCATCCTCTTTGTAATGGCACCCTAAACAAATGAAGGCGAAAAAAAGTCGTATGATCGTCGAGATACGAGTTTGTTACTGTCTGAACTACTCTAGGATATCTTAAAGACATATGAAATCATTTGACAACTTCTTTATAAGATTTCTGTCATAATGTATTCATGTAGTTTTTTTTATTCGCACCTGTTCAGATAGCCGATGAGAACCAATTGCTAGTGTGACAGACAAGACTGTTGGCATAGCTATTGGTATTCCTCCGATTAAGAGAACAAGAAGGTTGTTTATTCCTTTCCTGTATGAACGGTGCTGTATTGGGAACATGACAATGATTTCAAGAAGCATCCCCACAGCTATAGAGCAAATGCAGAAGTTCCCAATGGCGGTAAGGACCTGCCGCAGACATTTTAACCCTGTCATATTTTAATGTCTCACGGTCTGCAATTATATCGCTGCTCAGAGATTAAGAAAATTATGATGATACTTCAGAACTCTCAGAATTTATCAATTTGCAACTACCTGGACTTATTTGACATGTTCGAGTGTGTTCTTTTTACCAGCTTTTGACATATTTTCAAATATGCAACTGTTTCTAGTTGCAATTTCTAGTGATGAAGTTCAAATTATATGTCAAGCGATTTAAGCAGAGCTAGTTATTTTCGCACGTCTTGCAAGTGATTTGCATTGTTTTTCTTTTAAATACAAAATAAGCCAATAATTGAATGAAAACTTACAGATATCATAATCTTAAGTATATATTTCCATATATTTATACCGATTTTTTTTTTTTTCACACGAAGTTATTGTTCTTACCGCCTGGAAATGTCCAACAACGTCAGTGGTGTCAACTAGATGTGCTGCTTTTCCAAAGAAACTATTTACTCCTGTCGCAATGATCACAGCTTCAATTTCACCATGCTTACATGTTGAACCTGAGTAAACTTCATCACCTGTCCTCTTGGTAACAGGAAGAGATTCTCCAGTAAGAGCAGACTGCACAAACAGATTCTTTCTGTGATTCCATAAATCTTTTGCTCGTGTTTATTTGACTGTCATAGAAGATCACTTTACAAAAGGTAAATTAGTTAAGAAATAATATTAAGCTGTAAGAACTAACAAGCACTCGCCTGGTCAATTTTTAATGAATCTCCTTCAAGTAGTCGAGCATCCGCGGGGATGATATCCCCAAGCTTAATGCTAACTATATCTCCTGGTACCAAAATAGTGGCATCTTGCTCTTGCCACTGCCCATCTCTCAGGACCTGCATAAACATATGGTGAGTAGAACAACAATCCTCTGCTCAAAAGAAACCTAACAAATAGGCAGCAGCATTAATTGACATTAAAATCTCCATCAGCAAGATGATGCTCCCAAAACAAGCATGGGATCTTAAAAGAAATGAAATAAACTCTTCGAATATTTTAGGCTTTTCCAAGGAATCCATATTTTCAGAATTAAAATTAGCCAAAGATAAAGTTGATTCCGTCATAATACCTAGAATTCTGAAAAGTTGGCATATAAAAGAAAAATAAATTATCCAAGTATTCTGATCACTTTCAAATACAGGCAACTAATCAATGGCTCAAAGGGATTTACCTTAGTTTTGGGAGCTAAACGAGCCATAAGAGCAGCTGCAGCATTCCCAGCATTGTTCTCCTCTATAAAACTAATTGTTGAATTGATTATCAGCAGGCAAATAATCCCTACAAAGTCCTGCCAGTCGGGACCTTGCCCCTGAAATATCATTTCGAACAATGGAGTTATCAAGCGGAGAAACATGCTTCAGAATATGTTGCAAACAAACTGAACCCAGAAAAAGATCTGGAAAAAAATAACCATACTAAAGTAATAATGGAAGGAAAATTAAACTACTCACTCCACCGTTAGCAAGGGCAATTGCCATTATTGCTGCCGCTTCCATAACCCATGACAGAGGATTCCACATAAAACTAAGGAATTTCAAAAACTTGTTCTCCTGCAAAGTAGCAATTGAGATTCTGTGAATTGAAGTTCACATTTTTTTTCTGTTGAAAATTTAAATGCTTTCCCCAGTTAGGGCGATTTATGGTAAAAATTGAGTCTTCTGATTGCTCCAAAAGTTAAATGAAATTGAATCAGTGCTTACTGTCTTCTCTTCAAGTTTGTTTGGACCAAAAATTTTCAATCTGGCTTCAGCATCTTCAGAAGAAAGTCCTCTGTGTGATGTTCTCAGTTGCTCAAAAACTTCCTCTAATGGCAAACGCTCCTGTTAAATAAAAAAGTGTTTAGTACTAGGAAATGCCTATTCCAAAATGTGGCAAAATTTGTATCTGTTTCAGTGTTTGCATTTCTGCAGAACTTACCAAGTCAATCCCCTCTCGGTGGAAGCTCTCAGGATTCAACAGTGGTTTATCCAGATCCTCAGCCATGATTCAGGCCTCAGAACCTGGAAAATTACGACAGAATTTTCTCATAAGCATCACAAATAGTTCTACATAACAGCCATGGATCCTACTTGTGGTCATCGTTTCAAATATAAAACTAGCAAAAATATAATTTTGACCATTTTAGTTGCATGAAAACATACAGCATGTATGAATCTGCAGAATGGCGTGCTTGTAAAAGATTTGAGTATCTTATATTATATAAAACTGAGTTGGGCTAAATCCCATCAATGTACATTGATATTGAATAGAATGTATCCAAACTGAAGCATGTAATTCAGTTTCAGCCGAACAAGCCCTGTCAACAAGTCGGGCAGAATACTAAAAGTTATGCTTCAAATGTTTTCCCCTTGAAGCATTTATACCTGAACGAAACTCTAAGTGCCACTACTACAAACAATCCGATTCTTGAAGTTGAAAGGACATTTCATAGGCTAGCAATTATTATTTTCAGCCAAGTTCTTTCACTGAAAAATCTGATTAGTGATATTCTGTGATGTACTAATAGTACCATAGTTCAAAATGTCAGGAGCTAAATTATGTTCATCTATTCATCATGTGCCTAACTATGCTTTGTGTAGTCACCACTATAAACTTAAATTAGCCAAGCTCAATCAATGTGACTTAAATTCAAATTAAGTCCAGAATTCCAAATGAAAAGGCCACATTGTAAATTGAACCAAAACGAAGACATTGAAATCCCACATAACTGAGAAGCAAAACAAACCTAACTCAACAACCCGGCCATATTTAGAAACCAAGTACAAGATATTAATAACTCGAGTAAATACACAGATTCATTGATCAACTAACCTTTATGAAATTGGGGAAAGCTTGGGAGAATTGAAGAACACTAGTAGTTGTAGAAGGACTGAGGAGGGTCTAGTTTCATGAGGGTGAAAATGCGGTGCGTTAAGGAAGTTGAGAAAGAGAGGAGTGAAATATGGGATGTTTAAAAAGGAAGACTAATATCATTAGGTAATCATGATTAAGAAGCTGACTGTTGGTTGGAAATTCATGAAGAGCAGATGATCCTAACAATCCTGCAATGTCTTCATCTTGGCTTAGCCATTAATTCCCTCAAGAGCTACAAGACGACTAAAACTTCTGTATTTGTTTGAGACAAGACTCTATGATACACTCTCAAAGAGCACGCAAGGGAAGACCGTTGCCAACTACCTTTCAAAACTTACCCTTCTAACCTAACGGCCCATTCCGGTTTCCCACTTAAATTTTTTTAATGAACGAAAATGCATATGGAAGACATGGACTGTTGAGAGACACCGCATGCATCAAACTAGTTACGTAGGCTGATTTAATTTGCCACAAAGTTTGGTTGGTGTCCCAAAATCCAAACCTTCATGGGATTTGATTGTTTCGTTTAATTTTTGGACACGAAACACCAAAGAAGGTAGTCGTAGTCGTAGTCTTAGTTAGGTAGGAACGCTTTGTTGAGCATTTACTTTTCCACACCTTCACAATGATTTGGATCCATGTGTATTAATCTCTAGCTTCTACTATTTGTCCCACGTTTTCATAACTCATGCCCATTGGGATTGGAATTGGGTTTCATATATATTCCATAGAATAGAGCTTCTTCTTGCAGAAGGACGTAGAATTGCTATAAGATAAATGACATAGAATTAATGCAACTAAGCTTATAAGATAAAAAAAAAAACTTGGTGAATCTCGAATGGAGAATAGTCATTTCTTATTATATTAGTCGACATAAAAGAATATATATTTAGTAAAACTTGAATCTTACTTTAATGGAACTAAGCTTATTTGTTTTTTTAAATATGAAAAAGAGAGAGAGAGAGAGAGAGAAAGTCTGGTTTGATGGGGGCCCCGGTTCTCATGCTATGTTAAAAGGCGTATTTTGTTCAATTATGGTGCAAGAATATATTCTCTAATTTGTTCTCTCATGCCTTTTTCCAGTCTTGACTCTTGACCATCTGGTGCAGCTGATCATCACTGCAAATCTACCTTCAGGCCTACCAACCAAAATAAAAACATTTAATTTCATTTTCTCCGATAATCAAAATAATTAACATTTTAATTAGTCATATCTAATTAATTTTCTCTTAAAAAAATATTAGATAGAAATCACTGTTTAATCTCAATCATCAATGCGTACAATATGCGCATAAAAAAAAGAAAAAAAAAGGGATAAAAATGCCAATTTGTATTTGTTTCAGTAGTTGAGATTCTTATTCTCCGAGAATAGGCGACTGCTGGGTTAAGAACCAAAAGATTTCTATCTTTGTTGGGCTGGCCCAAATTGCCGCTTCAAACGTCTAAATATGGTTTATCTTTAGAACAAAAGCTGGCCCAGTTCAATTGTATCTATCTATTTATTCTTTTTTTTTAAAAAAAAAAAAAGTTCAATTGTATTTATTTCATTTTACTAAAAAATTTACCATGATTTTGCTTTGTCGTGCATGTATGTTGCACAGTCTTATTTTAAAATGAACAAATAATGAAAAAAAAAAATACTAACAATCTCACTTAATAAAGTGATATGGCTATTAGCACATCAAGTAGGAATGTTACATTTTATGATCATTGTATCAAATAATTAATATAGCATTAATATATATCTTCTGCTAACATTAGTAATTAATACGAATACACTTTGTAAACTTTTCAACTATGCGCTATGTTGCTCATTTCCAAGTTCCAATAATGTTTGTTTTCAAAAAAAAAAAAAAAATCAGAATACATTAAATCGGTGTGGAATATATGTTTTTGATATCGTTTCAAAAAAATATTTAATTTCGATTGATTGATGCATAAATTAATTAAAAAATAACTTTTCGTCCAAAAAAAGAAAATAAAAAGTTTCGGTAATATTGTATGTGATGAGTGGGAGAAGAATTGAAGCTTTTGACTTTAATAAAGCTTATAAAGCCTATCCCGTGGATAGAGATTCTTTATTCTTAAGAAATTAGTAGTAAATGGAAGTGTTATAACATACAGAGCACACGTACGTATATAGATAGGTACAAACCCTAGTACAGAACATTTCGATTTAATAGGTAATTTAAGGCCGAAGAAGCTGGCTGGCATCTTCTAATTCACTCATCCATCGCATTTGGATTATGCGCTAACTTAGAGATTAATCCATTTAATAGAGGGCATATTCCTGGAAGGCCACTGTTACTCAGCCCCACTCTCCCTCTTCTCTTTATTATATATTAAATTCTATTCTTTGCTATTTGTCGTTTTTGGCAGTAAGTTCAAAGCGCAACTAAAATCAGCATAATAAGAATATGACCAGCACAAAGCTGCCAGTGATGGAGCACTTCGATTCAAAAAGAGGCCTATCGATAGCAGCACCAACGAGAGGGAATGAGCAATGATGCCAGCAATTAACACTTACTTGTTCGCCAAAACTATGAAACTTTCATGTTCGTTCCTAAACACATCATCAACCGTAAAATCACTACTAAAACTGTTGAAAACATGTCATAGTTCAAAAAATTAGTACTGGGGAAGGAAATAAGAATTGCAAACTTGGTTATCTAGCTTCAACGGAGTAAATATAAATTAGTCTCTCTGATTTTACGAATTGAATAATTTTTTTTAAAAAAAATAATTAATTAGTATTTTAACTAGTGTTAGTCACACTTAATTTAATATTGTTTCAAAAAAAAAAAAACATTTTCATATCGATGTTTTCATATTTTTTAAAAAATAAATTGAAAAAAAAATTGATTTTTTGACAAGCATATCATTAGCAGACTGTTTTTATTGATTTTTTTGAAGGGAAAAATTGACAAGCATCAATATTCGTAGGGAAAAAGTGATAAAAGATAAGGATTTATTTGTCCACTAAGAAATTGAGATCAATATTTAGCACCTGCTAAATTCTAACTTCTTTTCACTTTTAAAAAGATTTTATTAGATTTAGTGAATCCCGTTACAATTCACGGACCTCGGTTACACAATCCATTAACTATGTCATATTAATTGCTTTACCAGTAATATAAAATTCCTCAACAACGGTACGAATGGAGATAGCTGTTGTCTGGGTTGACATGACTGATCAAACGAGATATTAGGAGAGTTAAGGATTGGAATCCCAATCTCTAAAGTCTATTTGCCACATTTTCCCTTCTTACAGAAGGACTATACTATGATGATATATAATGCTCCTATATATATAATCCCAATCTCTGAAGTCTATTTGGCACACTTTCTCTTCCTACACAAGGACTATACTGTGATGATATATAATGCTCCTAATGCTCCTATATACAATGCTCCTATATATATATATATATATGCATGTCATCATTTAATTTATCAACAGATTCTTATCTCTTAGGTTCTTTTGCTTAGAGCAGCAAACTCAGTTGTATTTTTGTGTGAGTTAAGTAATTCAATTAATCTGTCTGCTATCGTTCAAAACAACAGCCGGTCAAGACAGATCAGATTATATTGTATATTATATACGATCTATTAAGATATCGAAGGATGCAAGCGATTGGAGCTTGAAGATTGCGGCATACAGTTCTATTGATAAAATTAGCGTTTTCAGAGAGACATTGAGTGTTGTTAATTGTTTGATTGTCCATGAAAAACAAAAACCCATATCTTTATTTTTCTAGTTAATTGAGATTACCTAGAATATATATATATATATATATATATATATATAGGAGTCGTTTGATATTTAAAAAAAAAAAAAAAATTGAAAGCAAAATCAGAAAATTTATTTTTTGAATTTAAGAAAGTAAAAACTAGTTGTCAATGTTTTTCAAAATCAAATTAAGTGGTTCTAAAAATTGTAACAACGATTGTTATTTTTCTTTTTTCCCAATGAAATTCAAAATAATCCAGTTTTTTATTTTTGTTTTCAAAACTTCAAAAACAGTAATAGAAAACAAAACCGAATTGAATGATAATACCCGTGTGTTGGGATTATGAACCGTATTGGTAGAGTTAAGAGAATCCAACAAAACCAACTTCCTACCTCAAAATTGAGGTCAGATTGCCGGGATCATGTTCCCATAAACCAAATCCTATGCCTTGTCTTCATTAAACAAACCTCCACCTTTCATGCGCACCTTTGCCATTTCTCTAATCTAACATTTGCGCTTAATCTATTGACTAATCCCAGCTGATAACACAACAATACAAGGTTTTTGATAGTGATGCCAGGAGTTAAAAAACATTAATTTGCACGTACCATTGATATTCAAAGCTTAAACCTCACGTTCACTCCCCCAGCTGTTCTACATCTACATTGAAGAAAAGAAATATAATAAAAACTGTGCTGCATCTTCCCATGCAAATCCCTCACTTTTCGAACCTGACCATGTTCACTCCCCTTGTTGCTTTCCTTCAAAACACAGTCATCTTTTTCTCAATTTCTTAATCGGCTTTTAACCTTTTGATGGTATTATGCTTTGTATATATACATCCCTTACTCCCCTAGACATCTTCAAGCTCTTCGGTGAGCTTTTTTGGGGATACCTCTCATAGCTTACACATCTAGCTACTAGACATGGCTGAGATTAAGTTCCAAGTATACAACAAGTGCAGTACTGGAGCCAAGAAGGCCCCTGCTACTAGGAGATCTAAAGGACGACATGGCTTCACCAATAAGTGTGCAGCCTTGGTTAAGGAGCAACGTGCTCGTATCTACATCCTACGCCGTTGCGCCACCATGCTTCTTTGCTGGTATATTCAGGGTGATGATTAGCCATGCATCTAGCTATAGCATATATATACTACTCTAGCTATATATAGCTGTAACATATTTTCTTTCCTTGCCCGCACATAAATCAATCTCTTACATTATGCACAATAAGAAATCACATAGGACATACCTGGTCCAGTACGGTTTATTTTCATGAGGTAAGGGTGTGGCTACATATATCTGTTTTCTCAAGCTTCACAGAATTTTCTCCTTGCATGTGCAACTATTCCCTTTTTTTACCTGATTGGAGAGCAATCCATATTGGGTTTCTGGGGGCACAGACCACAGGAGAAAGGTTAATTTTTACCGCTGCACTCTTCCTTTTTCACCAACGGACTGGTCATCAATTATATATGAAGATCAATGGAGCTGATTATGAGATAATTAATATGGAGGGACACATCTCTCAATCCTTTTTATTATGACTGTCAAAGGTTGTTTGCCTGTTGAAGCAATGCTCAATTACTGTGACCTGTACTGCTGTTCTTTTTCCTTAATGTCACCCTCTTAATTAATTAGTCTTTTTTGTGAAGTAACCTGCACCAAGTATGTTACAACCTGCAAAGAATATGAGGGATGAGATTGTATGTTGTAATTGTCGATTTGTATTTGTAACCGTGGATCATCTATTCTATTTTCTCTCTTCTTCATCACTTTAAACTGAATCTCTGTGATGTGTTTGGTAAAGAGTTCAGTTCACATGTCAGCTATTTCTTTGTACGTGAACAAGCGAAATGTTGGAATCTAATAAGATTTGTGATAAATTAAATATTATGTATAATTTCCGTATTTCACTTAATGGGATTTCCTAATTTTAATTGATACATTGTCTAAAATAAAGCATGTTTCCTCTCTTGTGACAAATGCCTAGGCCCATGCATGTTTCCCATTGATATTAATTAATTAGCTTAATTATATATGCTCTTTTTCATTTTAAACAAATAATGTTTGTCATATTCTCCTTTTTTTTTTTTTTGTTCTTCTTCTTTTTTTAACTAAATTACAGAGTGCAGTTGTAACTAGTTTTTTATGCTTACTTTATTCGGAAATTGGTACCTGTTTCAGTTTAAATTACCTTTTGAGATCAAGAGGTCATTCCCTTTTAAAGTTTCTATATTTATCCGTACGATAAATGAATGGCATAAGTCAAAATTTCATGTAACTAATAATCCGAAACCACCCTGATTCACTAGGCAGGAGGTTGTGAAATGGAAACTGAACTGATGCATTGAAGCTTTCAATAATGGATTTGAACTGCAAAATTAAGAAAATTATTTCATGCTGTAAAATTCGTGCAAGTTCGACTGATTCACTCAAATAAATCTGAACCCACTCCCAAAAAGGTAATCGTGCAAGAGCAGAAACATGGATCAAATCCGAACTGAGTTCGGCCAAACCGAGCACAAATGAAGAATTTTCTGCTCTCTGAAGATACTAAAAAAAATTGGACAAACTGTTTTGCTGTCTCTATGGAGACATCTCTGATACAACTGAGCCATACACAAGGTCCTGTCAACCCTCCGTCCGCCCCTAAGCCTGTAGTTGTAGGGGACTCATCTTATCATCAGCTGTGACTAAAAATCAAGAACCATCAAAATGTATCAGATCAGTGCACTGGGTAAAACCAACTTTTAGGAGTTAACTTCAGCAATTTCATCCCTCCTCGTATGCAGGGAGTAACGACCGATATAATCTTTTCATGAATGTGTTTTTGTCTATCGCTAGTCAATCCAATCCTTGAAGAGTAACATCATGTAAAGAGGTACATTTACTGCAGCAATGACTGTGAACATTCGGAATGTACGCACTAGTCTGTGGATAATGATCTTTGTCTTTGATTTGCTGGTTCTATGTGGTAGTTTATCAAATCCAACATCTGCATTTATGTCTATGTTCATAGAAAACTGTGTGTCCTGAGAAGTATTTTTTCTTGCAGTTGGCCGCATTATCACGTTACCCCTGCACGATAGAGAGAGGGGAAGACAAAAATCATATAGAAAACAATAATGAAGAGAATGACGAGAAATGTAGAGATGAAAACCTTTCCATTGAAGCTTTATCACTTGGACGTGGAACAAGGGTGTCTCGTGCTTTCTTTACAAGGTGCATCGTTCCTTCTGCATCCCACATCATCTCAAATTCACAATCCTCATCTTCATTTTTCTCTTTGGTCCCTTTGAACATACTGCTATATAGTCTAATAGATGCCATTAAATCACTGAAATGATGCCCAAAATCCACACCACTTGTTGGCCAAAAGAGGAGAGTAAGAAGGGTCAGAGCAAAGAGCGAAAGATACCTAACAATTCAGCAACAGAAGAGGAGAAGATTAAATTTCTATGTAGTAACCTGTTTCTTCTTTGCTTTTGCCTGAAGAAACAATATTTCTGATACCACTATATCCCTCCTGAATCTACCGAAAATCTATGCTAACTATGAATATTATGATCAGGAGGGAGGGTTACCATATGTAGATGTGTGTTTGCATTGGAAGAAAGCACAGCTGAGTCATCACTGCTCCTTCTGAGGTGGATGCATTTGCACTTGCAGAGTTACTAGCAGATAATAGCATGAAAGATGGATACAAATTTCCCATCTGCCAACTTAAGGTCCCTACAGTGTGCTGCATATTTTGATTAATCAAGTATCATATTATCAGAAGAAGCGTATTTTAATAAATCTATGCCATGCTATCAGAAAAGTTATAAATTCAAAACATCAGGGGCTTACCTCCGTTATTGGCCCAAATTTTGACTCATGGGTCACTGTGCACTGGTCATGATCATGGCCGGATAAAACGAGTGCCTGTAGAAATCATACATATTATGATGAGATCTGCCCTTAACACATGGAGTCAGTTTCAAAAACATTTCTTAACTGGAATTGAGGGAAATGTCACAAACACAGAAACTTCTTTCAGCCTGTCAGGCTTCCTGGACAAACGGTCATAACAGAATGCAAAGGAAGCACAACATACCTATTAGAGCAGCATAGGTATAAGGATCCAGGAGATGATAAATAACTTACAGGTTTGATCATATCCAGCAATTGGTTTGAAGATTCCTCGGTAAGAAAATTCTGGTACCTGCATCATCAGACCACTTGTAAAACCATAGCCCAAAACTGTAAGCAAGTTCTACAATTTGATGCAACCCTCCGTCCACATTTCAACAAGACAATGGATAAGAAACTCACACTATTTCATGATTGTTAGCAGAATGTGAGATCCGCTGAACATGAAACAGAAACTCATAGAGGTAAGTTTTCAAGAGTTCACAGAAGCACAAGCATTCAGATCATTAACCCTCAAGGAACATGAGAATCTCTTCAATGAACATGAAAAAATGTAAAAAACACACAATTCAAAAAGAGTTCCAACCACCCCCCCCCCCCCCACCCTCTTTTGACTTCACAAAAACTAACAAAAAGAATACCTGATTGATGATTGGGGAACTACGATGAGAACCACAATAAGTATAATCCCGCCGATACAGAGGAATATGGCTCAATAATACCCTTGGAAGAGATTGGACATCTAAAGAAATTTTAGGAAAGGAAAAACAGATGAATTGCTTTTAAGGGCAAGCACCAACTTATCAGTAAACATAATAGAAAGTAAAGAAAATCCGCTGGCAAATATCACATACCGATGGAGACATTTTTTATGAACTCCCAAGACATTGACGCCAGATTCCCTTGTGGCTGCCCTGGAGATTACACAAAATAGAACTGCACAATGACTACTTTCCTTAGAACCTTCAGTCCCAATTCAAATTCTATTGAAATATTCATCTGTACACAGATGCTTAAAATAAAAATGATAGCCACTGTCATACATAAACCATTCAATGCAGTTTCCAATTAAAATTATCTTATGCATGATATGCAAATAATGTGACATTATATGCTCCCACATCATAACTCATGATATTCCTGAATGTACAGTTAAATAGCTGAACCTAGAGGCAATTACCCTCTACCAACAGGAGCAAATCAAAACTCTTCAACAGCTACAAAGATTTTGATATTCCTGCCCTTTTGGCTTCTGTAAATTTTGGTTTCAGTGAACAGTGAGTGATGTCTTCAAGGGTCAGGTTTTGATGTTTCTTAGGGTGTAGACAGTACAGGGTTGTAACATTTTCATTCTCAGAGAATACAGTAACATCAGTAAATGTCAGTGGCTTCTTGTCAGAATGGTTTCTCTAACTGGTTAGACCAAAATAGTCTGCTTTTAATGTGGAAGTTTGCTATGCAAAACCCACCATAAAATAATTCAGCACACAGATTAGGATGGTTTGGCAATTGCCTACACTATGAAAACTTCACTACTACAAATTGCTAAAATCAATAAGAGAAATTCTCAATTACGAAGCCAAACCTCAACTACACACAAGAAAGTCTCAGAAACGCCAATAGAGTAACTTCTTTCCAAAAAAAAAAAACTCTAAAGAGATAATCAATACTAACGTTTAATATTCTGCCACGGTCGAAATATTATTATGCTACAGGTAGATCAATTGGCTACAAAATCTAAAACCCAAAAAGACAAAATCTTATTTCATCAACAGATAGTACACATAAGAGGTGTTTGGGTGTGAGAAGGTTTATGTGAATCCATGCACCTAGAAACCAATTCAAGACAAATTATCAACAATCTCCACCTTTGCTTGAACTGAGACAAATCAACTTCTACCAGATTAAGCTGAAAAAAAACATTTCACTTGGCTAACTTGATTGGCATGGTTATGATTATTGATTTGCATGGTTATGGATATTGAGAAAGGGGTGGAATTGTGGAATTTAGTAGAGATAATTTGGTAGTGATGAAATGAGAATTGATCGTCAAGAATTCATACAAGTTGATGAGAAGCACAATTAGATATGGAATTTGGGGTGAGTCTTACAATGGAGCAAAAGACAGAGAAGCATTATTGCCATCCATGAAAAAGATTTAAGCAAGGAAAATTAAGAATGATATCCATGTTAATGAACATGGCAAAGTTAAGAAAGTGTAGGTAAAAAAAAAAAAGGATATAATAATTCAATTCACCAAAACAAATGTGTGGAAGTCAGCCAAACCCAATTCAAGCCAAGATGGAGATTGTTAAAATATGGCTTGACTTGATTGGTGGTTGCATGAAACTATCATACACCTCATTGCACACCAATGTCTCTCACATAAAAGTGCCTAATGTAACTATTTTGTGCTGTCTTGCTTTATTTAGCAAAGTATCAAAGAACTCGTCTTTCATTTGTAGGTTCTGTAGCCATCCGACCCATTACTAGTATATTATTTGTTTGGACAAAATGCAAAAGTTTGTTAGATGAAGAAGAGTGTATAACTTCTTTATTTTACCATCTAGAGCTTGAGAATCAACAGCAACAAACTCCACTTTTCCAATTGTGAACCGACGGTTTCTGATCCCAAATTCTCCCTCATAGCGCTCAATCACCTGTACAAACGCAAAAGTATAACCTGATAAACAAATACCAAACTATAACACCATTAAAGAACATAACTAAGTAGTTATCAGGAAGTATGTGATAATCTTTGGCCAAATTGCAAATAAATCATCAATCAATTAAATAACATGAGGTACTGGACTTTGCCTACCAAAGAAAATAAAGGAGAAAAAACAGAATGAATATAATGGATGCATCACTCTAAAAGTCAGGGCAGTGTAATTTTAATGAAATCATGCCAAAGTACCTTTGGGTTATGAGAGTTGATACTTGCATAGCCGATATCATGGTTTCCAGGAATGAAGTAAACCCTGATGTTTTTAAGTATTCCATCCTCATTCAGCCCAAAAATGTGCTTAAATCGATTTAAGGATTCCTGCCATCTTATCAGTTAAAAAATGTCAAGGGCATTCTTCACCATGAAGCATACGAAAGAAAAGAAGAGAAAATGAATATTCAAATAGAAAGAAAAAGATCAAAAAGCCACTGACATAAAAGTCATATATTAACATGTTTTGATGGAAATATCCAAAATCAAGTTTAGATGCACAGATCATCTACAACAACGAAGAGAAATAGAAATTTGGCAGCCTTACTCGTCATCTGATAAAAAAGGGCCACCATCAAAGTAATCACCGAGAAACAAGACGACATCAGGTTTGAAAGGGAGTATAGATGAAAAGAAAGCGCGGCGCATGTATAAATCAGTATAGAACTTCACAGTCTCCAAAAGAAATGATTTTGGAGGTAGACCAATAGAGGTTTTGTCCATTAGCTGTCAAGCATTGAAAAACATAAATCTTAGCCCCTCAAATCCCAACAAAAAAATAAATGAATGCTTGATAAACTAATTCAACAAGAAAAACTCACCTGTTGGTCTGTTACGACAGCAACTTTAACATAATCCGTGGGAGATTGAACCCCATTTATCTGAAACATAACCAATCAATTTTACATGATAGTGTCAATGCAGCTAATGAGAATTTGCACTTAAAATAAACCTCAAATGATCAAGAATTCAAATTTAAAATCCCAGTTTTTTTTTCGTACTGTTAAAAAAATCAAGCTAAAAAGAAATGGAAACTCTAAAGAAAGGAAGATTTCTTTTCTCATTTGAGATCTAAAGATTCCGACAACATCAATTATCTATGGAAACAAATCAGAAGTAAACTAATAATAAATAAACGTTAGTTGAAAGAGAAAAGAAAGAATTACGGTGGAATTAGGAGAAGGGGAAAGATGAGGCCAGGAACAAGAGGAGAGAAATGGAAGCCAGAAAGCAAACATCTCGCCATAGAGCAGAGTGCAAACCCATATCCCGCACAGTATCAACGTCAATTTGTGATGCTGCTTCATTTCTCTACCTCCAAGAAGAATTGTGCTCCCCTGCCGCCTGGTATTCTCAGTCTGCTATTTTTCTTGAATGGATTTTGAACAGTTGACCTGTGTGACTCCTAAAAGGAAAGGACTCCAAAGTCCAGCGGGGTCATCAACCAAGCCGAGGACGGTCCGATTGGGTTCTCGTCGGTTTGTAGGTTTCTAAGGGAAAGAAAAAAAAAAAAAAGTTAATTAGTTGAAAAACCCCTAAACTTTCGGTTTAATACAACTAATCCCCTCATCGCTCAATTTTTCAATTTAGATTCCTTGAACTATCGGGTCAAGACAATGTGGAGTAAATTAAGATTTAATCCCTCTTGCTTTGAAAAATAAATGAATAATTTTTTTTATTTTAAAAACTAATTATTCAGTTTTTATATTTTTTAAATCTATTTATAATTTATTTTTATTTTAAAAAATAAAAAAATGAAAAGATATAGATTGATAAGAAAAAAATATTTTATAAAATAAAAATAATATTAAATTAAATCTAACCAACGCTGATAAAAAAAATAAATATTAATTTTTAAAATAAAGATATTAATTTATTTATTTCTTAAAATTAAAGAGATTAATTTATAATTTACTCAGACAACGTGTGGTGTTCCCTCCCACTCCAAAAAAAAATTATATATTCCATTAAACCTATTGAAAAAGGCGTGACATATCCTTCCAACAATGCAGATTGAGATGACTTTTAGAGGGAAATGGTTTTGGTGGGAACTTATTCTGCATTTGATCCATAATTTTTCCCGGTGATGAGAGTTAAAAATTCTAATTTTTTATTTATTTTAACTTATAATAAAATTATTTATTTATTATGTAATTTTGATTATTTAATTATGTTTTTTTATGTGTTACGAATAACACAAATTGTTGGAAAAATAAAAAAAAATCATTTAACTTATACTGACTTGACATGTGATTGGAGTTTTCATTAGAGATAATAAAGTTTATATTAGTACCATTTGAACTCGTTAAGTTCAACAACTTTATCTTGATTTCTTACTTCCTCTTCAACTCTTAGACAAGTAATAAGAGCTTCAATTGTGAACTCTTTTTTTCATGCCTCTAACACAAATAATTTATGAGGAGGTTTACTAAGCTCTCAAGTCTATGAAGTTGTATAGAAGTCCAGCTTGTAGATGGTCTTCAATCTTTTTTTCTTGTTTTTTTTTTTTTCAGAATTTCTAGGATGTTGTAGGTGATACGGTTCATTACATGGTTCAAAATGCTTTATGTTCACGTTTACCGCCTTTGTGGAAGCTTTAATTGTTCCGATACCCGAGCGAAATCCCACTCCGATCGACCAATTTCGCTCTATTAGTTATGTGCAAAGTGGTTTTCAAGACTTTGACAAAGACGATTATTAACCGTATTATTATCTCGATTTGATTAATCCGATGCGGGAAAGTTATATCTCCGATCGTTTGGCTTCGGATAATATCATTATTGCTCGAGAGGTGATCCACTCTATTCATAGGAACAAAGGGCATCATAAAAAAATCTGGTTCTTAAAATTGATTTAGCTAAAGATTATATGACCGTGTCAATCGGCATTCCGTAGAGAAAAATTTGCATTAATTAATTCGATTTTCGGACCAACTTGATTAAGTTAATCTTATCTTGTATTTCGAGCTCTTCTCTTTCTACTATATAGAATGGTTAGAAGTTTAAAGCTTTTTTGTTTCCAACGTATGCCATGGAAACCTTATGGTTACCTCGATCGGTATGTGATGGAATTGACAAGAAGGTTTGTTTTTTTACTAGGGGAAGAAAGATCGAAATTGTTGAGTGCATCTTCTCGTCGTTCCAAAAAATGCCGATGGTTTGAGAATTAGATAGGCGAGAGAATGCAATATTGCTTTTTTCGTGGAAGCTTCGTTGGGGACTTTTCAATGATTCCTACAAACTATGGATTTGAATTCTAAATGATAAATATTTGAATGGAGAATGTATGTTCGAGTGTTGTTCCTGCTTGTCTCTATTAAAGGACCATCTCACCTAAAAGTTTAAGCTGATAGGTGAGACCCTAGAATATAATTTATACTAGTCTCTAACACACCCTCTCAAGTGAAAGGCCCAACATTTGAGGCATGAAACTTGCATAGGTCCACATTGCCTTGTGCTTAATATTTGAGAAATTGGGGATGGTGAGACTTGAACTCAAGACCTCAAGGTCAACCAAGCTTTGATACGATATTAAATGACTATCTCACCTAAAAGCTTAAGTCGATAGGTGAGACTCTAGAATATAATTTATACTAGTCTCTAACGAGTCTCTCCTACTTGGAAAGGTATTACTAAGGCTTTTGGTATGCTAAAAGATGGTTATCGATGAAGGATTGGAGCATGTATGCTTAATGATAAACCCCCACGTATTTTAGTTTATAGTAATGTCAAGGGAAACTATGGGAGTGAGACGGACGAATTTGGAAATTATCTACCGATGGTCACTACATGGTCAAATCCGGTTTTCAATACATTACTACCACGAGTCCTATTACTCGTCGGGAACAACTGGCCTTGGATCTAGTGGTTTCAAATTGCTCGAAGTATAAGATATTTATTTAGTTCGTTGCTTGGAATTGTCTCGTTGTTACTAGCACGTAAAAAATAAAATAATTAAATAATAAAAATTCACAAAATATGTTGCTACTCGATATTCAAAATACTTCCAAAAAGTTCTATTAAAAGTTATTTATTGAGCTTATTTACTAGGAATGTGAGTTAAATCATATTTTGGAGTTACCATCTAGTATTAAAAGAATTAAAAAACCTAAAAATGAAATTGATTCGGAAATTTTAACATAAAAATTAATTATGCTTTTGAGAAGATATCAATCACAAAAAAGGTATCTTTTTTCAAGAAAAGCTATCATATCCGATTTAATTCTAACGGTTTATCTTCCAAAAATTTTATTTAGAGAGGACGGTTGCAAAAACGACTTCTATAGCTTAGAAATGGAGCATTGCATGTGGTTTTAAGATGATTCATAAAACGGCCCCTACACTTTGTAGAGGCGATCAAGAGAAAAAAACGTCTACAATGCCCTTTTTCGGTGTAACGTATTTTTAATTTTGTAAAATAAGTTAAATATGTATTCTATTTAAAAAAACTAATTCATTGGCTTCGTGTCTTTAAATTTATTTAGAGCTTAATTATTTTTTAACATTTTATATTTTTATAATTTATTTTGTTTTTAAAAATAGAAAATAGAGAAAAAGAAGTGATAATATGTAAAGATTGATGAAAAAGAAAATATTTTTTGAAATAAAATATTATTAAATTAAGTATAATCAATTAAAAGATTAATTAATTAATTTTTAAAATTAAAAAGATTATTTACTTTTTTTTGCACCAATTTATCATTTAGTCTTTAAAGAATTAATGTCAACTTAAAAAAAGTAAGTTTTTCTTCTCCAAAAATGTGAATAAAAAACTCTCTACTCTCTAGTGTCGAGGGGACGTCGGGAGACGGGGGCGGATTAGGGCATGGGCAATGTCGGCAATTGCTCACACTTTTCACTCAAATCCATTAAAAAAAAGGTTGGAGTTTGTCCACATAATTTATTCTTCTGGTTAATTTTATCCTTGTAACCTGTATTTTTGGTTATATTTGCACTCATAAATTTAGTTTAATGTAAAAGGGCCACCACCAGATAATATTATTGATCTCATAAAAAATACATATTCTTGAGAAAAAGTAAAATATTTGTGCATGTTTTGACTGATATAATATTATAATTAATAATTTTTTTAAAATTATATTAAAAGTCAAAGAAAATTAAAATTACTGAAAAACCATACAGGTGTGTATGACCATATAAGTGTATGACTAAAATTACTAAAAAAATATACAGGTGTGTATGACTATATATATAGTCATAAACACCTGTATGTTTTTTCAGTAATTTTAATTTTCTTTGACTTTTAATATAATTTTAAAAAAATTATTAATTATAATATTATATCAGTATTTTCAAATAATATTTTATCAAATAGTATTTTTTTTAAAAAAAATACATCTATTTTGTAACGCCGGAGTAGTGTATTTGCCTTGACTAAAAATATTCCGGATCAACCCCTGCTCGGGTAATTGGGAGAGCTATATATAGAGAGAGAGAGAGATTGAGAAGGCTGTCTCCGTGATTGCCATAATGCCATAATGCCATTGCCAAGGCACTAACTCATGTGAGACTGAGAAGGCTGCTCTGATCAACATTTTCTCTCAAACTTGTGTGAGATTGAGAAGGCTGCCTTTGTGATTGCCATAATGCCATTGCCAAGGCACTAGTAAATAGCAGTAAGTTTTGATGACATGTACATATATATATATATGAGAGAGAGAGAGAGAGAGAGAGAGAGAGCATCCATAATCCATTAGTGGTACTTTTTGCCTCTCAAAGTTGCAACAGATCGTATGACTATATATTTACGCAGCAACAACAACAATTCTCAAGTTCAATCAAAGATGAAACTCTCCCATTCACCAAACACATCACTTTCGTCGTTGCCCAATCAACACCTTTTATCTTTCTTTTTATCTGCTCTCAAGCACTACATAACATAAACAACTTCTTTCTCTTGCAAATTTGTATCAATGTATTACTCCTGCCTGGTTTGTGTTTTCTTTGCAGCTTAACTGTTTGTTTTAATGCCTACTTCGCAAATGTTTGACCAGGGCAGAAGCAGCAATTGAAACTTCCAGATGCTAAAGTTTGGTTCCTCAAAGTAAATGATTATGCTTTCCATTTTCTCTTTCTATTGACGCGTCATCGCAAACCGCATAATTTTTTATATTTTGATTCTCTCATCCTTCTTAACAAATGCTAGAATCTGGCTAAAAGTAAGTGATTAGTGCTTTATGCATCATTATATCTGCTACATAAAAAAAGGAAATATATATATATATATATATATATTAGAGAGTAATATAAAACTATCTGTGTAGCTTCGTCTTAAGCTTTTGAATTGAAATATATATATATATTTTTTACATAATATCAGTGCTTTGATGATTAATCGATTACAAGTTTGAATCTTGTTGTTTTCATTTCATTTTTAATTAATTAAGCAAAAAGTAGCGTATATATGTGTAAGTTTCAAGTTTAAAGAGTTTGGAGGTGTACTAAAGAAAGTTTCAAGTTCAAAGAGCTTTAACTTGAAGAAGTTGTAATTAATTTAACTTGAAGAAGTTGTAATTAATTAAATACAAAGTAGCATGTATATATGCAAGTTTCAGTCCAAAGAGTTTAAAGGTGTTGTAGAGTAAGTTTCAAGTTCAAAGAGCTTTAACTTGAGGAAGTATACTAAAGAGTAACATAAAAGCATTATTGAACCTCCTCTGTTAGTTTAAACTTTTGGTTTAAGATGGTTTATATATATATATATATATATATTTGGATAGCGCACATTGGATTCTGCTGTGCACTTCGAGCTTTAGCTCTCTCTGTGCCTACCTTTCCCGAAGAGATAAACATCTGCATTGCTGGAGACTATTAAGAATCTTACCATGTGGTTTAGTGAATTAGTTATCATTCCTCTTCATGGTTGCTTTGAACAGAAGTTGAAGATTGGATGGTCTACTTTGTTCAAAATGAAACTTCTAAAGGAATGAACTGGTAATTTAGAAGAGCATTTTGAGGAATGCGAAAACTTTTGTTAATTTTTCAATTTACTTTTAGATAGAGAGATGAGGAGATGGCTTTAGGTATTTTGATGTTGCTATTACTTGGATCCGTTGCTCTGCCTCGATTGATAAGATTTTTCAATCTGCTTACTTAAGACGCATTTGACTTGCAATCAGTAAATGTTGTGATTTGCTAAAGAAAAGGCACATTCATTATCTTATATAATTCTTCATTCGCAATCATATCCAGAAAACTATACATTTTTTTCATTAATTTTTAGGATGTTGTAACAGCTGGAATTTATGGTCTTCAAGCATAAATATACGTATATATGCATCTATACATAACTTCATTCTTGAACACTATATATTTTGCGTACTCTACTGATAATGACAAGATGGGTTCCTCCCAATCCTCCTCCAGGCATGAGTTATGTTTGGTTAGCTGTGTTATTGGAGTGACCCCGCTGCAGCCTTAGTTGTTCTTAATATATCCGTTGTACCGAATTAAAACTAAAATTGTCAACATTTTTTAAATGACTATGGTATGCGGCAAATAGTAGGTAAATGAATCTAGATTGGTTCAGTTATAAACAATACAGTGATATGGGTAATGAATGAGCATAAAGAGTTTGCAATGAAGCTTCTGTTTTATGTTCTACTAGGTGATAGGTCTGCATTGGAGATGAAATTACCTTCATAAGACTATTTTTAACTCAACTTATAGATCCCTCTGTCAAAAACTGATAACTGTGATTTCTTTTTCTGTACGTATATAAAGCTATATGATAGGACAATATTCATTTACATTAGGAAACAGTGAACAAAAAAAACCTCATATTTTGTGCAAGTGTACATGTCTGTTTAATATGTGTTGAGGAGCATCTTCCGCTAACCCTTATTTTCGTTTCTGTGTAAGCCAACATTCTTGAGCCAATCAACAACTTCCTTGATGGTTGGTCTCTTGAAAGGGTTCTGGCTAACGCAAATGCAGGCCACATCTAGTACTTGCAGCATCTCGTCATCAAAACCCTTCCCTCTCAGGAGAGGATCAAAGACTTCTTCTTGTTTACCCTCATTTCTCAATTGCTGCACCCAGCCAACCAATTCTCTTGACATCTTTGGCTTGAATACCTCCATAGGCCTCTTCCCAGTCAGCAGTTCAAGCATAACAACTCCAAAACTGTATATATCTCCCCTCAAAGTGGCTACCCATGCCTGCCCATACTCTGGAGGAATATAACCCAGAGTTCCAACAAGCTCGGTTGTAACATGAGTGTGGTAAGGAAGAATCAACCGGGACAATCCAAAATCTGCTACATGTGCTTCGAACTTATCATCTAGGAGGATATTGCTGGATTTGATGTCACGATGCACTATATGAGGCTCACATATCTGGTGCATGTAAGCCAGACCACAACCTGCTCCCCTTGCAATCTTGAGTCTAGTTGGCCAATCTAGTTGGGATGCACCATCAGTCTTCTCATGCAACCAGTAATCCAAACTCCCATTTTCCATGAAGGAATATATAAGCAAGCGACATCCCTCGTGCACACAATAGCCTTGCAGGGAAACCAGGTTTTCATGTTGGGCTGTGGAAAGAGCCTCTACCTCAGCTCTGAATTCTCTTTCCATCAGACCCAAGTCTCCTGAGAGTTTCTTGACAGCCAGCTTGCTCCCATCTCCTAATGTTGCCTTATACACCAAACCAAAACCTCCACAACCGACAATGTTTGCTTGATTAAAATCATCAGTGGCTTTCAACAGTTCAGTTATGGTTAGATCCTTGATCTCATTAGTATTACTTGGGAACAGCACAACTAAACTGGCATCCTTGTCACCTTCGGGAGGAAATCCAGAGTTGATGGAAATTGTATCCAACTCAGTGTTGTCAGTGTCCCCTCCAGGAATGATCCTTCTCTTGGACAATATCCACAGTGCTAGCACAGCGGTAAATAAACCGGTGCCAAAACAGATACCGATGACAAGTCCAATGACAAGTTTTATGTTGGTGCTTTTATGAAGAGCCGAAGTATGGTTGGTTCCTGGTGAACTAGAGCAAGATCGCTGCAAAACCTGACCACATAACCATTGATTCCCTATAAAGCTGGAACTGGGGAAGGTATCAAACTGACTTCCAGATGGTATAGGTCCTCGAAGATCATTATTGGCAACGCTGAATGAGGACAGGAAATGGAGACCTTTGAGTGACGCGGGGATTTCTCCAGATAAGCTGTTTCCTGAGAGATCCAGTTTCTCCAAGTTAGTGAGGTTTGATAATTCATCTGGAATGTTTCCAGAGAATTTGTTATCACTGAGATCCAGCACATGAAGCAACTTCAGTCGGCCAATCTGTACAGGGATATTGCCACTGAGGTTGTTGTTTCCAAGGTATATAGCTGGTGGCAGGCTAGAGAGCTGATTGTACTGCAAATTGGTAGCATTTGTGGGCTTGACAAACACGGGCAACTCTAGATAACTTCCTTCCACTTGTTTAATAGCCTCTTGCGATGTTAGAGTTTGCAATCCTGTGAGTTCCAAAGGAAATTCTCCTGAAAGAAGGTTATTGGACAAGTCCAAGTAGAAAAGGCTTGACAGGTTACCCAGCCAACCAGGAATTGAACCTCTGATTTGATTGTAAGACAGGTCTATGACCTGTAGGCTCCTGATATTGGCTAGCCAAGAAGGCACTTGACCAGAGAGTCTGCAACGACCTAAAGCCAAAACCTGGAGATTTTGGAATCCAGTCGAGTCTAATGTATTTCCATCGTCTAGTATACCTTCACTCATCGTATTATTGGAGAGGATGACAGTTGTGAGGTTCTTGCAACCCATCAGAATTCGGATAGCCCCAGTAATGTTAGTTAAGTTGTTGGCGGAAATGGACAGAAAAGACAGAGATTGTAGAGCTAGTATGTCAGGTGAGATCTGACCCTCTATCTGATTACTGGCAAGTCTAACTGCAACTAGTGACGTGCATGAGTAAAGTCTTGTGGGAAAGGTACCTGTAAAGTTGTTGTTACCAAGATCGAGGGTGCTAAGCTTGCGGAGTGTGGAGAACTCGAAGTCGGAGAGATTTCCTACCAAGGAATTGACTCGCAGATTCAATTTTACTAGATTGGTGCAGTTCATCAGAGATGGAGGCAGAGGACCTGTGAGCGTGTTAATGTGAAGCATCAACTGTTCCAACTTGGAGAGCTTGCCTATATCCCTGGGTATCCTGCCAAACAACTGATTGGAGTACAGCTCAAGAACCTTGAGACTAGTGAGATTGACCACAGCATCACTGATTTGACCAGAGAGGTAGTTGACAGGTAATGAGAAATGTAAAAGTGAGGTTGCTTTGTAAAGATCATCAGGAATCATCCCTGAGAGATTATTGAAACCAGCACGGAATATCTCGAGTTTGGAACATTCCCCTAATCCAGGAGCAAGGTCCCCGCTGAAATCATTGTTGGAGAAGTCAAGGAGGGTCATGGAACCCGAAGAAATTTGGCAGATGTTGGAAGGAATTTGGCCTGTGAAGCTGTTATTGCTGACATTGAGTCTAGTCAAATTCCAGGCTGCATGGATAAATGAGTTGGATTGACTTAATTCCCCATCGAAGTGGTTGCTAGACAAGTCCAATATCTTGATAGAGATAAGGTTATTAGTATCAAGGGGTGGTAATTCACCAACGAGACGGTTGTAGCTGAGATCAAAAACTTGGAGGCTGCTGAAAGAGGAGAAGAATCCAACTGGTAGAGAACCATACAGGCGATTATGTGAAAGATTGAGGTGAGTCAGACTTGTGAGCTTGGCAAGAGATGGGGAGAGGGTGCCATTGAGGTCTCTAAAAGGTAGAGAGAGACTGGTTACTCGACCATCTGCAGTGTCATCGCAATCAACTCCTTCCCAGAGGCAGCAGTCAATGGAAGGATCCCAATTCAAAGGAGGAGAAAGAGATGATAAATTGGATGAGAAGAACAAGAGAGAGTCATGATCATCTTGATTGCAGACAGTTGCAGCATGGCAAAGAGGCAGAAGCAATAGTATTAAAAGAAGAAGAGATAAGACCATGACCAAAGAGGAGGAGGAGGAGGGAGGGGTTCTTGATCTTTGAATTATGATGAGTGGATATGTCAAGCCAGACAGAGAAGTAAAGTTGTCTTTCTTGACCATTATCATCACTATCATTTAAGTTGAAGGGACCAAAATAGTGGAACAAGAAAGAGACATAAGGAGAAGAAGCTGGAGGTAGGAGTGAAGGAGATGATAGGAGAAGAAGAGCTGGCCAGGTACATGATTATCCTCTCTATCTGGTAGACCTTGTAGGATTACAAAGATGGGAGATTGCAATCGAACCCCCATTGACCCAACGAAAGAGAAAAAGAAATGAAGAGAGTGCGGGCGTGACGTTAGGTCATTTGATATTTTAGTGGCAACTACATAATATAAAATATTAATAAACAAAAAGGCTGTATCATTAAAAATATGAATATCTAAATAGCGTTTACTTTTCGGGCGGCTGGTAGTGGCTGGTGGTGCTGGTTGTGGTGGACTTTGTCTTGGATGATGATTGATTGATGACCAATGGCCACAAAGCGTGTAAACTCTGCGTTCAAAAACTCCATAATCTCATGTTCTTTGAGAGCTTATCATGCCTTCCAACTCTACACAACTTCTATCTTCTCTCCTCTTATTTCTCTCCTCAACTGATTATTCTATTTCTTTTCTTCTTTTCTATGTCCCCAACCCCACTCCCCACTCTAGTATTGTGATGTGTTGTGGGCGTTCTGTTGGTTGCACGGTTACCATTGCTGATCTTGTCAATGACACTCAAGAATTCTAATAGCTTCCTTTTTCTTTTTAACAAAAACAATTCTAATGCCTAGACTTGCCATTTTTTTATGTCTATTTTTCAGACGGTCGCTAACAATAGTTGCAAAGTATTGTCAATTTAAAAATGCTCATTGCCAACCATCGTGTATAATGATCAGACAAACACTCCTACAAAGTTTAATTTTCAAAAGCATTGGATGCAAAGTGACTTTTTAGTGATTTTTTTCTTATTTTTATCATTTGCTTTCCAATATCTCTGAACGATGCCTCACACTTGTCACAGGCTAGCTAGTTCATATGTAAATGGAAGAGAGAGAAGGAAAAAAAAAAAAAAGTCATTTCTACGAACCCTAGTTCTAAACTAGGAACCTATGCCAAGCCATTATTTAGCAACGACGCGCATGCATGCCCAAAATCATGGACCATATCATTATATCAACATAAACCCATGTTAGAGGTAGAAAATTGACTGTACATCATCAGGCCTCAGTTCATCTCCAACATAAACCTATGCCAGAGATAGAAAATTGATTGTCCATCGTAGGGCCTCAGTTCATCTCCAAATCAGAAGGGGTTCTATCAATAGTTTGCCTTAGAGAACACACTATTCCATCACCTCCAAGTTCATTGAACTAGTCCATTACAATCTTTGTTCGCCCATCTCCTCTCCTCCCGAGGTGCTTGAAGGTCTAGCAAAATAGAATGACTCTCTCCACCTTCCTTCTCTTAAAGTTGACATTTGACTTTACAAGTATAATTTCAAAAAACATAACTTATCATCAGGAAACTTAAATCACAAGATAAGCTGCATTAGGTTGTTTTTGAGACAGAACTTCTGTCTCAATCTTGCCCTGACACCGAAGTCCACATCCAAACTAGAAATGAGCCACTTTGATGAACCTGCAAATGCATCATAACGTTACCAACATATTGGCATGATGATAGTACAATGGCAATCATCATCGTCATTATTAGTACAGGAACAGTGCAACTTTTTCGAGCATTAAGCAGCAGCGATGTCTCAATAAAAGAAAAAAGAAAAGAAATTATTCTCCACTAATTGTGTATAAACTGGCATCCAACGAACACATCCATATGATGAATTGAAAGACACGAAATAAAAGTATCAAGAAACTAGACAAGATTCCTTTAGAGGTTTTTCATCCCCGACATATAGGTAAAATCAAATTCAACAAGCCCTCTTTCCTTAAAATGGAAACTTTTGTCCCACTATCTTTCTCCAGTGCAAAATTCTATTTAAACTAATAAGTGAATGAAGGGAAATGGGGAAAGAAATGCTCTGTGAACAAATGCATTATTGAGCTCAACCGGTCTTGCTTAAACAAACCCAGCTTCAACCAGAATTTTAATTTACCGCAAGTATATGCCTCTCGATCCATTTATACTAATTTTGCTAGGAAACATGATAAACAGAAAATGGAAAGACTGATTGCAATGGCCACAGAAGAATGAACCGACTGTAAACTACAGATACAAAATCTTTTACATACAACCCATAGATTGGAAAAATATTACATACAAATGTAATCCTTGCACCAAAATAATAATAATTTTGCAGCATTTTCATTCCACAAATTGATAAATAGAATAACATATTTCAGTTCCATCAACAAATTATTTCTAACCGATGTTGGGTTCAACAAACCAAGCGAAAGCAACATCAACCTACACCACAAAAATAAGAGAAAAAAGACACGATTGCCAAAAGTCCACTTTAATTCAACTTTAATTCCAGAAAACTTCACCTGCTCTAGAGGAATTGAATACTGCGATTGGCCATTTATACTACACCATATTGCATATTATAAACGGAACAATTTGCAGAATCAGAATATTCATAGATAGCATCAAAAGATCTTTCCAGTTTCCACATAATTTACTATGTCTTGGAAAAGTCATATTACTAATTCTAACCAGCAATGACTGTGACGCAATTCTGTTTTACTTTTTCAAAAAAAAAAATTATAGCTAAATTTCGACAAGTGCAGGTTACGAAAATATATTGATTGATTACCTTGATTTTGCTGACCCATAAAGTCCAGTTAGTTATTTATCTGCAAAATCCGAGATACATTAGCATTATTATTTCAAATTGGAATCTAAAAATAAAGCGTATAGATCATACGAAAGATACAAAAACTGAAAAAACTAAAAAAGGATTAAAAAAAAAAAAAAAAACCAACGAACCACAAACATAAGACAGGAACGACCTGAATAGCCTCTGTCTGTCTGCCATCACTCTGCAGGGTTTGACTGTGTAGACTGGGATCTCTCTTCAAATGACTCTCTCTAGTGTCAGTAGGATTTGTATTATGTCTCCGTTCTCATATGGGCTTTGGTATTGAGGCGTTTCAGGCTCAAGCCCACTTTCATCTACTTTCAGGTGTCCATCATTTGAAAGAACCCATCTGTTTGCAAGGGATGGAAAGTCTTACACGGAGTTGATCCGATATGTTGGTAACTAAGTATTAGTTTTTCCAAACCTGAAAGTGTGAGTGCCTTTTTTCTTTTTTCTTTTTTTTGGTGAAGAGAAAGCAACATATTAATAAACGTTATTATGTATTTTGAAAAGAAATTAACTGCTTTATAAAATTACATATTTTAAATGAAGAAAATAATAGACTTTCAAAAAAATTGTTATTGCTTTTAATTAAAATAACGAGTACCTTATTTTAATTCAAAAGCAAAATAATTATATTTTAAAGGTATTTATGCTTTGCTTTCCACATAAAACAGACTTTGAGCAAAGCATATTTTTTTATTTTTTTGCATATATAAAACAATTGCTAAAACTTGCTATCTTTAATCTTTAATTATTAATATGTGTATGAATGCAAAGGATAAAGATGTTTTAAAAAACTCAATTTTGTCAGGAAACACTAGATAATAAAATCTTAGGACAAATTAGAAACTTTATTAAGATTTTTAATTTTTAAGGATATAAGAAATACAGCCATACGGATAACGATAAGGATGATGATATAATGATAGGTAGAATAGGTACGAAACACAATGTATCGTTAGTAAAACGTTGGAAAACCTCCTCTCTCTTCATGTTTTTCCTTATTTCTTTTTTATTTCTGTCTCTAATTAAATCTCCTTTAACGTAGGACATCAAGTAGAAGGCTATCTACCAAATTTAAACCCCACCTCTGCTCCGGTGGGACCATAATCCTCTCCGCCAGCATCAACAACATCTTGTGGATAGTCAACGCTGGCAGCCAGACATTGCCAGTCCAGCAACAGCACCTCTTCATCACCATCCAGCTGCTCCAACACAAACCACCAGCTCCAGCCGCCGCTACAGGCCACGCCGTCGACACCACCCTCGCTGCCCGAACCTTGCCTCTCCACGCATGCGCACCACCAAGCCTGACATCCACACGAGACTGTAACAGCTGACAATACGCATAATGAGGAATTGAATTTCATTGCCAACTCCTGAATTTGCATCTAACGTCCAAATCAGTCCCTAAAATTACCTTGAGCATTACTTTTGATCACCATACTTCTGATTTTGGTCATTCAGTACATGCACTTCCTTTATTTATTTTAAATCTTTTATAGAACTATAAATATTTATGAGTCTACATATTTTTGTTATGGTTGGTTATACATATTAATGAAATATGAAATTTAAGCTATCTTCATTTCAACCTTATAACTAATCATTATTCGGACCTCATTAATTCATCCAACACTATATATATATATATGCTCAAAATACTAATTTAGTCATCGAAGTGACTATGTTGAGGGATCCCGTCACCATTAACATCGATGTTTGCGTTCCATGCTTGTAGGATTTCAAACGAGACTATCATTATTTTGTTTAACTCCATCAAAGAGGCTAAATATAAAATACTATAAATCAAGATGTTAAAATCTCAAGTATCATCGTCATCCGTTAAAAAAAAAGAGCAAAAAGCTAATTCCTCATCCGTATTGACCAGCCTTCAATCTGAAAATAATCATGTTCTTTTCCATGTGAAACACTAGATTTAGTTACATAGTACATGTTTTACCCAAGTATCCATTACTCAAATAAGTTAACATTTTTTTTTCCATTCAAGGAACACATCATTGTAAAAATAACATACAAATATGTTATAATAATCATCTTCTAGTAAAAGAAAATAAGCAATTTGTTTATACTCGTTATTTTATTTTCATCACACTCATATGTTTTTTCATAGTGCTAACCGACATTGCATGTCATACATACATTTATTCGTTCCAACGCAATTTCGGAGAATGCATTAATTATTAGTATTCCTTAATATTTTTTATTATTGTGATGGAAAAAATGTTAGAAAAATAGACAAAAAATAGATAAGGTCATCACATCATTTTGTCTTTATTTTGCAACACACTTATGATGTTGACATTTATTTATCACATATTTTATTATTTTTGTACAAATATCAACTAGCTATGTAAATCAAATAGAATGTTTGGTTCCATCTATCATTCATGGTTCAGGGCAAACCCGACTAGACCTAGGCCATTAGTATATAAATCAAAGGTCTCGTCAAAACTAGTCTACCAATAATTGTCGTGCAAACCCAAAACACAAGTACATATACAACAAAAACTATCAAATGGGTTTTCAAATTACATATACATCTATATGAATAAAAGTAGGCCCAATAATTAGGACAAGATTTAGGAATATTCAAATAATCGAAGAAATCTAGTTGTTCGAATAAGAAATTAACATGTCAACCACACAAAACTACTCTAGCTATTTGCTCTCGTATATAAAATATTTTCTCTTCTTATAAATTTTGATTCTCAACATCGGTTCATAATAGGGGGAAGATGCTATAAAAAGAAACTTTTATGGGAAAATTTTGAGCAAATGTGTCTACCATCTAGAAAAAAGCTTAGGTCGGCATACCTATCATTCAAGATAGATAATTTTGAATAAATGAGAATAAAGGGTAGAATGAATAAAAAATTAATACAAGAAGAAAATAAAGAGAAGAGGTAAGAAATGGAAAAAAGGAGAAAATTGGCCGACTCGACCACCACTAATACACATTGAATGTTAAGACTCACCTTGATGAGATGAACTCAATGCCAACATTCAAGGCACCAATTCGTTTTTGGATGGTGCCACACGTATAAAAAGATATTTGGACATGTCTTACCATGTGGTTGACAATCTATCTTATCCTTTTTCACATCAACCCTTAAGTTTTTATCGCTTATTAATTTAGACCTTAAATTTGAGTTTGCCCCTCAAATCAATCTCTCGGGACTCATCTATCATCACTATTAGCCTTTGACTTTGTCCGTACAATGAGATTTGGTCTTTATGTTTTGCAACTCTATAGTGTTGAACAAATCGGTCTCGATTTGCATAATATATTCCGATTTCATCCTTGATTATAAAACACATTTCCAATTCAATCACCAGCTTTGATCGATCGTCAACATCATATCCTCATGCATCGAATAATATGATTTTATGATCACCCAATCATATTTAACACCTTCGAGCATCAAATGACAAGAAAGAGGGTTAATTTTCTCGGATGGTACAAGAATTCTTGAAAGGCATGGATCACAAGAATCCATTGCTTGCGAAGAACCCATCCCTAATCCAGGATTTCATCCCTCTTCAAGGACTCCACTCGATCAAGCCAACTAAAAGGAGCTTTTGGTTTAACAATTAGGTCATCTAACTATACACACAACACAAAAATATAAGAGGTACACTCAACAAAATAATACAAAATTCTAAAATACATACTTTGCCGAAGGTATAGTCTAAGATCATATTCTTTAAGGAACGGACAACCATATTAAAAGCCGTAGATACAATCCAATGTCATATTCCTCGAGAAATGAACAATTATATTTTCTCTAGAAGTATAATTTAAGGCCACATTCCTTAGGAAAAACGACAACCATATTTTCTTTAGGGATCCATCCCTCTTCGAGAATCCATCATTTGTTTAGGATTACACGACTTCTCAAGAAATTCATCCTTCTTTCTAGTATTACACTATTTCTTAAGGAGTCCTTTCCTTTGCCCATAATTATAGTACTCTCTACGGAGTCCATCCCTCCTTAGGAATTTTATTCTCCATCCGGGATTACATCCTTCCTCATGGATTCCATTCTTCTCCAAAGAGTCAACTACCCTATAGGGCTCATCCTTTCTCGTGGATTCCATCTTTCCTTCTAAGATTACACTCCGTTCTAGGGAATTCATCCCTCATCAAGGATCTCACTCCTCACAAAAAAGTTTATTCCTCATAAAGTTCATCTCTTCTTAAGGATTTAATTAGCCATTTAGAATTATAGTCCTCATCGGAGATCCATCTCCTTTTAGGGATCTCACTCCTCTCCAAGGGGCCTACTCCTTATAGAGTCATCCTTTCTCATTAAATTCCACTTATCTCTAAGGGTTCCGCTCCTTTAGAGATCTACAATAACGTTCTTTCAAGAACTTATAACTATGTTTCTTTATGAATATATTCCTTTAGAAAGCTACGAGTCACATTCTAACAAGAACTTACAACAACATTCCTCAAGAAATATAGTTTTTTCAAAAACATACAACCACGTTCTTTTGAGAATATATTCTTTTAGGAACTTATACCCATAAATTAATATATATATATATATATATATATATATATATATATATGGGTGTAGAACCAACTCTCTCTCTCTTTTTCTCTCTCTTTTATATCTATACAAGTATGTCCAAACTATTGACTTGGCAATTGAAAGGGTCACACCAAGATACATTTCGACATAACTAAAATCGATTTTTATACTTCATATTTATAAAATTTCAAACGAAATTATTTCCAACTTCTTCGATAAGCCTAAAATCAAATAGAATAAATATAGATGCCAAAATCTCACATATCATCACATATGAACACGCTTTTTTTAGCATTATGTGGTTCGATCAAAGCTCTTCTATGTCATTATGTGCATTCATATAAATTTTTTGTTCTTATACTAGAGCATAATGCTAAAACACATTATGTCAATAAATACTTTTGAGTCAACTAGATTTAAGATGAAATATTGATTTACATTGAGAATTATTGGAAATATGATTCTTATTGTTTTACAAAACTCTTAATCTATCACAATATATATTTATTGAGTGTTAATTTTTTTCTATGAATTAATTATTTAAGAAATTTCTCTTTTATTTACTTAAATTGTAATCAATAATGTGAGCAAACGAGCTTTTTATTCGATTTCTAACAATTTTGATTCAAGCATTCGAGTAATCGAATACAATAAAATGACAACCGAACCAAATCGAATTATAATTTGGTTTTCAAATTTTGGTTTTAAAATACTTTAGTTTTGAATTTTGATTTTTCGATGTTAACTAAAATTATCAAAAATTGTTATTCATAAACAAAAGTTCAAGGACTCGTATTAAACTACCGGAGAATTTTTTCGGGTAAACCAAGAGAAGATGATGCATAAAGCACAAATTCACTACACCAACAACCTTTAATATTATAAAGTTTTTGAACTCGTACTAATGAGTTATTTTTTGAGCTGGATGACTTGTATGTTTGTTAGATTTTATTAGTGAAATGCCTATTTATAAACCTTTCAAACTCTTTAAAAAGTGTTCATTTTCAATGTGGGATTGTGAGTTCATTACTCACCTTTGAAGGGTGGGGGTTGGCTTATAAAAAAGCCAAACCCCTCTCAATTCCTTATGGGTCGTGGCCGTAGAGTGTGGACTCTTGAACTTCAAAATTTATGGCCTCTAGTGGGCTTCTTTTGAAGTTTCGTATGTCCAATAAAAAATTACAAGTCTATTTTAATTTAAATAAATTATAAGTTCATTATAATTTAAATAAAATAAAAATAGATGTAATGTTCGATTTTTAGTGAACACTCGATTTAAAAAATTTTAAAAACCAAAAACTAATATAATTTTGGTTCATTTTTTAAAAAATAAATTTAAATAAAAAACCGAATCGAAATTGGTTTTTTGGTTTTAATTGAAGTTTGCTCACCTCTAATGAATACTCATGAAAAAAAATATCATTTAAAATAATAAAAAATTATGACTATGTGATGTAAAAAACCATTGTAGCATTATGTGTTTAGAATTAGCTTAACCTCCGTTGGGATTGAATCTCGACAAGTGGAAAGTTATTATTTTTCTATCATGATGATGTTGTCCTTACCGACCTTTATAACATACATGTCGACTTGCCAAGCTATTTGAACTTTTTAAGGAGTGAGTGTATTATTCGAGAGTTTGCTCAATTGAAACAAGAAAAAGACTATAGCATTGAGGAATTTTTGGAATGTTAAGATTTTTTTTATTGAAACCCTTTTTAATTTTTCAACTTGATTTAAACTCTCTAATTTTACAATTTTGTTGATTCGGATCCTCTTAATTGTTCATATAATGTGGCATGTTAAAA